CCTTATGTGAGAAGATTGAGGTCAAAATTGTACAGCAAGTATGTAAGATTTGAATCTATGACCATCTAATCCAAAGCCCATATTCTTCCCATTATACCCCCATCTCAAAACTACCAAAACGATATTTTAATAATGGTAAACATGTGGCATTTGATTTATTCCGGGCAGCATTAACAGTGTTTTAATTATTTTAACACTTGTAACATATGAGGTAGATATTATCATCAGCAACATCTTCATTTATAGATAAGGATACTGAGGCACAGAAAATGAAAGTAACTTGTCCAGGGTCACACAGCTAATAAGTGGCAGGATCAGGATTTGAGCCCAGGCAGCTGATTCCACAGTTCATGCTTAATTGCTGTAAACAAATCTCATGCATATATCTATCTAAGGCCACAGGTATCTATATCATTTATGTACATGATTTAATGATATTGCCATACATAACTTTTATTTGCTTATTTTTAATTGAGTATTTTCTTCCGCACTAGCACAAATCCATGACATAATTGCTCCACGTTTATTTTTTTATCCTAACGGCAGGGATCCAGGTGTTCTATACATTGAGCACAATGTGATTTAGAATTCTTTTCAACCTGAAAAAAAAAAAGAACATTTCTTTTCAAACCTGAAAAAGATAATTTATTTTTAACAAGCCTGGCATGCAGAGCTCTCTCTCCCCTTCTTTTCTTTATACCTCTCAGCCCTTTCTTTGTTTGAGGTGATGTTTCTCTTGCAGTTTTGACTGCATCCTGCCCCCTGCCTGCCACTTCTGGTCTTTATGCAGGCATCATTCTCCAGCCCTGGACAAAGCTCCATGTCCCCTAGGCTCCAAGTGTTTTTGTCACACACTCCCTGTGTTTCCAGGTACTCTAAGATCCAGGGCCTGGGTGTGTCTCACTGGAACATGAAGGTTCTGGTTCTCTGGGACCTGACACAGCAGGGATCACAGAAACCTGCATGCTCATCCATGCGGGTACATAAACTTGGGGAAAAGGTGGGGACTCTTGAGAACAATGGTTCTGTGTCTGCTCCCCAGACTTGAGGTGGCTACCATAGCTCTTTTTCCTGCACTGAAAATCTATCCCATGCAACTCTTTTTTTTGTAAGTCAAACTTTGCTTTTTATCTCAACGCTGCGCGCGTGCGTGCATACACACACACACACACACACACACACACACACGAGAAAAGAATTAGGAAAATGCTTAATGTTGTAAGTACTTGAGGTCAGAAACAACAAAAGCTATTGCCAAGGTCTGTGCCTTTGGCAGGTGATTAAGGCACTGTTTAAGGAGGAACTGAGGTCTGGTGGGCAAACATGGAGTTCTAACCACAGCCCAGTTATTAGTCCATGGGAAACATCCTGTTACTATTATAAAGATGAAGTGCTACTTTTCTTTCTTTTTTTTTTTTGGTAAAGAACTTTCTAAAAGTCTTCCTTTCCATTCTGATTCAGTTCAAGTCTGTGAGGGAGGAAGGTCTCAGGGCAGCCATGCCTGCAACATTAGCTAATCAGACTCCCAAGAAACATTCCATTCCGCTTAGGAGGGCTTTGGAGAAAGGTTTGCTCATGGTGGCTTTTAAAATAAACTGAGGGTTGCCAGGCTGAATGGACTCCCTGCGGGGTTGGTGACCTGGTTCCAGGCTGGTGCCCAGCAGGCTTGCCTCCTGGTGGGATGGAGGATGTGTCATTAAACGTGGTTGCCTCGCCTGTTCCCTGATCTTGGGATCTGAACTAAAGTCATACCCTCGGTGGCTTCTCATTTTAAAATTGGGGAAACTGAGGTTCAAGAAGGTAATAATAAAAGTATAACAAGTCAACACACAAGTGCATTTCTATGATGTTATCATTAAGGGAAGGGGAACCAGGGCATGGTGGAGAGAAATATATGGTCGCAGATTCTAGATTAGCTATTCTGAAGCTGTGTGACTGTGTAAATAACTAAACCTCCCTGAGACTCAGTTTCCTTGTTTGTAAATATTGATAATAATGCCTATCCTATCGTTTTTGTACAAAGTAGAAATATGGATGGAAAACATCTAAGTCGTTCCTGGCATCGAGTAGGTATCTAATCAATGTTCTTTATTATATTTAGGGACACAATGCAGACCAGTCATAGGATAAAGTGTTTTCCAGGCCTGCCTGACTTGGCTTCTTACCAAGCAAGAATTACCCAAAGGAGCTAGTTAAAAATGCAGATTCCCAGGCTCTACCTCTGCAGTCTGAGGCCTAGAAATCTAAGTGATTAACAACCCTCTGGCATCAGGCAATTGCTGCAAGTCTGCAGGGCCTCCAGGAGTCCTTTCCTCCAACCTCTTGGTTTGGACATTGCGTTCTCTCTGGGCCTGTATTCAGTAAAACTTTTGCTTGTGATGACCCAAACTCAAACATGGTAGCCATGATTAAAACGTCAAATATCAACACATTTGCTGATTGTGTGCCCTGAACTTTGCACAGTAGTTACTACTGATAAGCTATTTGAAAATAGAATTTGGCATATTTGTGTGTGTGTGTGTCTGTGTGTGTGTGCGCGTGTGCGTGTGTCTGTGTGTGTGTGTGTGTGTGTGTGTGTGTGAGAGAGAGAGAGAGAGAGAGAGAGCCCATCTACTGATTGATACCTTCGTTTGCTACTTATATGAATACCTTCAATTCAACTAAATAAATATTATTGGCATGACTGCTATGTGCTGGGAACACTATGATAAACAAGATGCAGGCCCATCTTCAAGGGGCTTACTTAAAGTCCAGTGAGCAAGACAGTCAAATAAACAGGCAATTACAAAACTGTGCTTACATAAGGTTAATATAGGGAGCTAGGAGAGCAGGGTTGGGGCATGTTCTAGGGGAAATGACATCTAAGAAAGAGACTGAAATCTGGAACTCATCTCAAATTCTTTTGCAAAGGTAATGAAACTTCCTTAATTTATCCTTGTGGAAAAATGAGCCTTCACGTCATGAGAACTCATTTATCCAAGCATGCAGTGGCACAAACATTCAGTTCCTGCTATGGGTAAGCACTGGGTGAGGTTTCAGGGCAACTGGGTAAGAAAGGCTCAATCCCTGCCCTCAGGGAGTATACAGCACACCTTCTCAGGATTAATTTCATTTTCATCTAAGTCATTAATCCAGTGTGATCTGTTTATGACGGAACAGGTAATTAATTATTCAGTTCTTAACTCCCTTTACTGAAAAGACTTTACTCTCTTTCATCACCATGTAGTGGGGAAATCCGGTTCCCACCAACACTTAAGTGCAGGCACACATTTCCTCCAGGAGAAAATCAAAATGCAGCCTGATGTTCACAGATACAAGCGTAGGGGGGTGGGGTGAGAGCAGGGAGGGGTGCTGGCTGGATCTTTAGAACCTGAAGGGTCTGTGAATATCTGGGGCAGCACTTGTCAACTTTCCTTTCCACAGGATGCCAACATCTTTTAAATCACCTGTCTCTCTCAAGAAGCCGAGGAGGCAGGGAGGAACTGAATTCCTTGTGAATTATGATAATTACATCACAATTAAACAAAAGATGGCAAGGTGGTAAGTCAGCAGGTGAGGTCTTACCTTCTGTGCTTGTCTGTGTGCGGTCAGGTAGGAGCCCCTGAAACAATGTAAGTGAAGGTGTGTTCCCATTTTGCAGGTGGGGAGCCTGAGATACAAGGGGTGCTTGAGGCAGTGTTGCACACCTGGTAGATGGCACCTTGCTGCACAGAGTGCAGTCCACTCATTATTCTGGCTCTCAAAATCTCCCCACAAACTCCCACTCCCTGCTTCTTAGAAGACCAAATCTGCAGCATGCACCCCTTGTTTTTTTCCCAAGTGGCTCCCACTTCCTGAGACACTGGGGTCCCCCCACCCTCTCTTTCCCATCTGCCTGATGAAATTCAATCGATCCTTTAAAATCCAGCTCAGGTGTCACCTCTGCTTGGGGCTGGCATGCCTCTCCCCGCGCCCCTCTTGGGTTGGGCCTCTTTCTCATAACTTCTCCTTGGGCACCTGGCTTAGCCTCCCAGATTCTCTGTTCCCTCTGGGCACCTGGGGACCTGGGTCAGGCCCAGAATTTAGGACGCTGCTGTTCATGAGCTCATTTAATTATCAGTCAAGTCTCCACACAGGTAGTAGTATTTTCCTTCACAGAGGAGGAGCCCAGAATCGGGAGTGTCTCTCCGGAGGTCACACAGCTGGTACCGTTAGCAGAGCCAGGTTTACCATATGCCACCGGGGTCCTCCCCACTGGCCTCGCGCCAGTGCTGGCTCTCTGCCTCCCTGCCTCCGGCATGGGCGCGGGGAGCACCCAACCCACAGCCCCCTCCTACAATTTCGGGGTTCAGGTGGGGAGCCCCTAGCCCACCCACTGTCCAGGTCGACCAGTCCATCGCCTGGTTTCTATGTGGGACACTGGCTGGGCTGCACCTCGCGAGGCAGGGATCTCGGCAGAAACGGGGTGACCTAAACCCGGAGCCAAGGAGCCGGCCGAGGCCGGGGCCCGGTTCCGAGGGGTCTGGGCTCGCGGCGCGGCGTCCCGGGTCCCGCGTCCCAGGAATGTGGGAGGGCCGGGAGGGAGGGCGGGCAAGGCGGGGGCGCTTCCTCCGCCCGCCCGCGGGGAGCCTCCGGGGCGCGCGCGGGGAGCCGCCGCCCCCTCCCCGCGCCGGGCCGGGCCGGCGGGGGCGGGGGCTGCCGCGGGGGCGGGCGGGCGGGCGGCGCGGGGCGCGCGGCTCGGCGGCCGCCGGGCCGGCGGGGCGGGAGGAAGCGATGAATATTCAGAGGGGGAGGGGAAGCGAGGGGGCCGAGCGCTCGCCGCGGCTCCCTGCAGCCCGAGCCGCATGACGCGCGGAGGAGGCAGCGGGAGCCGCCGGGGCGGCGGGCGCGGGGGTCGGGGCGCCGCGCGCGGGGGGTGGGCGCCGCTCGCTCCGCCCCGCGAAGCCCCTGCGCGCCCGGGGACGCGTCCCGCTCGCGGCCGCCGCGCCGGGCTCCGCCGTGTGGCCGCCGCGGCCGCTGCCATGTCCCCGGGGAAGCCCGGGGCGGGCGGAGCGCGGACGAGGCGGACCGGCTGGAGCAGGCGGAGGCGGAGACGGCGGCGGGGGGCGGCGACGAGGCCCCGCGAGCCCGGGCGCACCGCGGGCCCCGACTCGCGCGTCCCAGGCTCGCTCCAGGGCGCGCGGGGCATGAAGCCGGCGGCGCGGGCGGCGCGGGAGGCGCGGCCGCCTCCACGTTGGCCGGGGCTGCGCCGGGCGCTGCCGCCGCTGCTGCTGCTGCTGCGCCTGGGCCAGGTGAGCGCGGGCCGGGGCGCGGGCCGGGGCGCGGGCGGGCGGCGGGGCGGGACCCGCGTCTCTGCACCTGTCCCCGGGGGCCCGCCTGGGGCGGGGGAGGGGCGCGCTCCCCGGGGCGCGGGGCCCCCCTCTCGGCCGGGCTCGCGGAGCCGGGTCTGCCGCGCGCGCCCCTTCCCCGCCGCCGATGCCAGCGGGAGGGAGGCGGGTCGGGGTGCCGGGGAGCGCGAGGCCCCCCGGGGGCGCCCCCGCGGACCCCCGGCCTGCGCGGAGCTGGTCGCCTCGGCCGGCGCGGCGCGGCGGGGGCCCGAGGCGGCCGGAGGGGGCGTGTTTGCAGAGGGCGCCGGGCGCGGGGCCGGGCCCGCCTGGCCGCCCGCGCCGACCTCCGACCCGGCCTGCAGGGCTCCGGGGCCGGGGCGGGCGGCGGGCCTGGGGCCGAGCCCCTGCGCCGGGGCAGGTCCCCGCCGGGAGGCAGGTCGCCCCGCGCGGCGCTCCCCGGGGCGCGCGGTCCTCGGCCGCAGGAGCCGCTCGCCTGCCTGGGTGTTCCATTCGCGCTTTGTGGCCGCCGGCGCCCCGCCGTGGGGCCCCCCACCCCCACTTTGCTAGCTTCGCTTTCCAGGTCGTGCTGTTGCAGGCGTTTTGGCGACCGACCTTTGTGAAAGCGCCGGTTCCCCTTCAGGGTGTCCCCCGGGGGTGCGGGAGGGCAGCTGGGAGACCTTCCCATTTCGCAGATGGGGAACCCGAGGGAAGTGAGAGCCCCGCGCGAGCCGGGCGACCTGCCGCCTGCCGGGGGCCTGCGAGGGTCTGGCCCCCGCCGTGGAGAGCGGGTGCTGCTGGCCCGGCGGTGCGTTTTGTGCGTGCAAGTCTTGCTTGTTTTATGTGGACACCAGCCCCAGGAGGTGACTTTGAAGCCTGGGAAGTGAGTTGCAGGCCGAGGATGGAACCCGGTTTCAGGGCAAACTTTGCAAATACCGCATTGTGGAGGAGCAGCAACATCTGCCTTGGGGCTGAAATGCGCCCCCGTGGACAGGGCGAGAAAGAAGCTGAGGTGGTGGTGGTGGGTGATTGCAGACCCTGTCAGTGCCCAGAGGGTCTGCTCAGGGTGGGGATGGCCCCGCCGGTTTTCTCAGCCGGCTGTGGGGGGACAGGCGCTCGGGAGGGCCTGGAAGGCAGTGTGGCCGGGAGTAGAGTGGGGTGCGGGAGACCCACTCCAGGGCCCGGGACCAGGGCCGGCCTTAGGGTCGCTTTCTAGCCCCAGGGAAGAGCGATTGTGGGGTGGGTGTACCACACCTGTCCCATAGAATTGTTGGAGAGACTTCTCTGGCCAATGTCTGAAAGAACTTTTTAACAGTGAAAGGGTGTCCATATGGGATTATCATTAAGGAACAGTGTGCATGAACTGTCTCCTCCCTGTCCCTGTAAGGAAATTCTTGAAGAGCAGGCTAAGAGATTAAAAATAAAAAAGCCTCATCATTTTGGTACAAGATCTCTTGTTTCAAAATTGATGCTTAAAGAAATAGTTGAAGGGGGGAAGCCCAACAGACTATGGTGGAGGATTATGGATATTTTGGTGGTATGATCCCCTACCTCTGCAGAGGTGTGACCCTGTACCCCTAAACCATAGCAGTGCTGTAAACCAGCATTACCTCAATTAAAAAAATGCAATTAAAGAAAAGCTAAGTTGCGGTCTTAAAAAGTAAATACTTGATCATTTATTTTTTGTTTAAAGTCTGGTATATATATATTTTATTATTTATGTTTTGCTTATCCATGATAGTGGTCATTGCTAATTATGCTTTCAATCAGCAAAAAGTTTCTCGGGTAAATTTATTTCTTGCCCAATCCTTCCTTGTATTTCAGTAGCATATTGCCCTGTTACACTTGTCCCCTACTCAGATATTTCCTTCCTCTATAGTTTGTTCTGTAGAAACTCAAGAGGACTCTTTTCATTTCTCGTTTTTGGATACATTATAAAAGAGGAAATCTGAAACTCTTTCTGCAAGAGCAGTTTCCAAGCCCACATTCGAATTCATATTGGTATTGGATGTTTTAGAGAATCAGTGCATTTTTGAGCTGAGCTGAGCTGCCTCTGACTTTTCAGATAGCCCAGTTCCCTCATTAAAAAATATTGTATTACTGTTTTTTACTGAGGTCATGTTGGTTTACACGACTGTGTATAATTTAGGGATACAGAGTCACACTTCTTCAGTTGTGTGTTTCCATATCACTCCCACCCCCAGGGCACCAAGACTCCTCCACCAGAGTCCATTGGGTCCCCCGCTGGTAGCCTCAGTTGAACAGGGTCAAACCCCTCATTTTTAAAGATGAGGCTGTTGATGCCTAGCAAAGACAGCAGTTGGACTGAGGGCACCTGGTGATACTTGAGAAGCGGGTATGGAACTTGCTAGCATCTGTCTGGGCCCAGAATGTTCCTGTTTTTACTCTGCTCTTTTAACTGTAGACATGGTGCCAGCTTACTGTGTTCTCCTGAAACTGGGTGTGAAGTGAGTTTTGTTTTGTTTTTTGAAGTCAAATCATGTTTGAGATTGAAAGTCATATGTGAGATTTTTAAAGTGTGTGTGTTTCAGAAATGGGGGTGAAGGTATGGGGACTACCTCCCTAACACTTGATGGATTTTGTGAGGCGTGTGTGTGTGTGTGTGTGTGTGTGTGTGTGTGTATGCTTCAAAATAGAATTAACGCAGCAGGCCTACCTGTTGGACAGATGATGGCAAAGAGGAGCTCTGTTTGACCATTACTGAGGATGGGCGTGGGAGCTGAAAAGCTGAGGTACCCTGGAAGTCTCCGTGCTTAGTAGGGCTGGAAAGGCAGCCTTTGAACCTGGCGTCTCATTCTCATTCTTCAAGACAGAAGGGGCAATCAGAAAGATTTCAGCATGAGGACTTTGCTGGTTGCCATATCCGAATCCACCCATTATAGTAGCATTTTTTTTTTTTTGCACACTAATTTTGATTTACATGTATGTTTTAGGCAATGTGACGAAGCAATTGCTACCCCCCCATCTCCCTTGCCTCCTTCTTTTGAGAAATGTCCTGACAGATTCTTTAAGAAATCAGCTTGATACTGCTTTAAACTAAGGGGGAAAAAAAAGAAAAGCTGGTGACTGCAAGCTATTTTGTTACTCTTTGAGTGTTTTGAATTTGCTTTTTCTTGGCGTTCTTGTTCCCTGGTGAATAATAACTGTTTGTGTCTATTATCTATAATAGTTAATCCTTAAGCCTGTTTACCTACCTGCTTCATCCAGAGTACAAAAAATATTTTGACTCCTCTTTAAATTGCTTGTTAAATTCTCATACGGTGACTTTAAATATTTTTGTTTTGCTTCAGAACAACAACGGAAAAACCAAACGATTGTGTTTTCTTTGCAGACAGTTTAAGAAAACAGAGCAAATTGGTTTATGGTTAGACTGTGACTTTGAGCTGACTTTAGTTTAGCCCCATGATAAAGATAACCACGGAATACCCAAGCTTTCCTAAGCAGAGAGAACCCTGGCTCCCGAGTGAGCAATTTTGGTCAGCAAAGAGGTTATTTAGCTCCTAAAAGTAATTTTTGCTCAGAGTTGAGGCTGAGGCCGAGTCACTGAATGACTGTAGGCTTGCGTTTAGCCTAGCAATTACTTGGTTTGTTCGCTTCTTTGCCAAGGGAATTATTTTGAGTGCAGGGTAAGAGGCAATTTTCTGTGCATTTCCCTTCTAACATCATGCTGCTGATAATATTATAATTATTAGGTGACATTATATGTGGCAGGCACTGTGCTAAGGGTTTTAATGCATTATCTCATTTGACCACTTCAGAAATACTGAGGTGGGTGCTGTTTGTATTCCCATTTTATCTGAGAGAAAACTGAGGTTCTGAAGTTCCCAAAGGTCCGTAACAGGAATGTGGTAGAGCCAGGGCTGTTCCCCCGCTGCCCCACCTAGATCACCATCCAGTGCTGTAAGAGGTGCTTGGTGTGCAGCAACTAAGGGATGAGGCCACAGGCTTTTGTGGTGGGGGCAGGGTTGGGGGGCCTGAACGCTGAAGGGACAGAGATGCATTGTGGGCTCTCTGCATCCTCATACCTGTAGGATCTGCTTAGGATCTAATCCATGTGGTAACACGGGTTCCTCAGGTACCTTCTTTCATGTTCATGTTTCTTTGGGCAGAGTTTATAAGCAGGCCAGCCTTACCGGAGAAAGAATAGAGTCTGGAGGGGCAGGACTTGGGTTTTGGTCCTTTCCCTGCCACTTAGTAACTCCATAAACTTGGGAAAGTCACTTAATTGCTGTGACTTCTCATTTCCTTATCTGGAAAATGGGACTAATACTTCCTGCTTCACTGGATGGTTGAAAGATCAAATAAGATAGAAGAGGAACTCTAATTCAGCCCACAATTGCTAGTTGATTGTCGCTGTTACTTGAGGGAGAAGCGGGGATTCAGATCATTAGCTCATAAAATATTCCTCAAGCATTTCCTTCAGAGGGAGAGGTGTGGAATAATCTTGGGATGGGAAAGGTGAATTTAGCTCAGTCACAAAACATTTTTGTTAATGTATTTGCGGGGCTATTGGTTAAAAAAAAAAAAAGTTGTAAGTTCTTTATCAAGCCTGGGATTTTATAGGTCCAGGGAGGTTAAATATAGCAGTATGATAAGTAAGTTTATTTAAATTTCATAAGATATTGATCTAAAGAAAACTATTGAGTAAGAAATTGAGTAAGAATGATATGATTATGGCAGACTTACAAAGGGTAGGTTGCCTAAGTTAGGGGATATGAAATGCGTGGAATGGGGGTGAGCAGGGGAGACAACCTGCCTTGGTGGCTGTCACAGGCAGGGGGACTGAGAGGTCTCTGGTCACCCCCAGCTGATCTGGGCTCTGTGTGTGATGTCCTGGCTGTGCCTCCACAGAAAGGGCCGGCACAGGACTTGTCAGAGGAGTGGTGGGTGCCGAGAGGGACAGAGTCCCTAAATGGAGATCTCTGGAAGTGCCCAGTGTCTCAGAC